CGCCCCGCCGCCGCCGTTTCACGGAGCGAAGCGGGGTCTCGAGAAGGGACATAGCCACGGCTACCCTGAGGGAGTCCGTTTTTTCTGCCCGCCACCTTCATGCAGCCCGCCAGCCGGCACTTACTGAGCATCTGTTAATTCTCTGCTGAGCCCTGTTCTGGGCATTGGAGACACAAGGATGCAAAGGCGTCACCACTTCTGTGACTTCCTTCCTCCCTTCTCTTCTGCCTGTTTTCTCATTCTGCAGCTTTGGGGGGGGGGGAGCCTCATCCATGCTGTGGTGTCACCACGGCGTGCTTCTTAGTGATCACCATGGTCTACCTTCAACCTAGTCATGACGCCCGAGTGCCAGATTTCCAGATTTCCAACCTTCGGAAACCTGAATGTCTCAGGCCCCGAAACTCTCAACACACCCTGAATCAAGTTCTCGACTCTCTTCCTGTGACCTGTGCCTAAGGTCACAAACTCCCCCAACCCCCTCCTGCAGTTGCCTTCTGCATGGCCTCCCCCTCTGTGATTCTCATTCACAAAACCCTGGCTTTGCCCTCCATCTTTTCCCCCAGGACACTTAGTATAGTTTGTACCTGTCACATGTGTTGGTGTAATTTTTATTTATTTAAAAAGTGTTATTTTGTATTTGACAAATAATAATTGCCTCCCTGTGTGGGATACAGTGTGATTGTTTTCATATACACACATTATGGTGTGATCGAATCAGGCAAATCATCATATTCATCACCTCAAATGTTGATCATTTCTTTGTGGTGAGAGCATTTAAAATACTCTCTTTTCGTTATTCTGAAATAGACAATATCTTATTATAGCATAATTTGTATTTGCGGTCTGTTTCATTCATTATCACATGTCCAGCCAGCACCTTTTCCAGTGCCTAATCCAGGGTGTGCACTCAAAACTTTCCCTCTTAAGATGCAAGAAAAAGAGCAAATAAACTGTTTCAGTACCTAACACCGTGGCTTCAGAGGGGTGCACCAGAGCGTGGACTGCCTGAGTGTATATCCTGTCCTATCTCATCCTGGCCGTGTGCCTCGACAGATTGTCCCCCTGAGCCTATTCTCTCATAAATGGAGATAATAGCACCAACTTTGATTTCAAACAGGTTGTTTTGGAGATTATAGGAGTTCCTGCTCAGTGAGTGCTTAACACAATGCTTTGGCATTATAGTCAGCTGTCAGTAAATATTTGCTCTTGCAATTAGATGCAAAATACTCCGTGTCAGAGGCCTTAGGAAAAGGATCTGCTAAGTCTGCCTGACGTGATGGAGGAAGGCTTCACAGAGGAGGTGGCATCTGAGCTGAGACTTGAAGCCTTAGTTATAATCTGCCAGGCAGCGGTGGAGGCTAGTCAAAACTACCACCGGAGGAAACAAGAATGTATTAAGATTGCTGAGGAAAATCCCGAGTGAAAGGGTGAAATGCCAAAATGGAATAATGTACTGAAATAATCTTAGGTAAAGCACAGTCATTTTAACACTGCTTAGCTCTGTTATGCTTTTTTAAAAAAATTTATTATAAAGGTGTGGGGTACAATTCAGGGTTAGGTATATAAACATTGATCACGCAGGGACCCTTGTTGATGAGGTATGCCCCTCCCTCCCTTAGCAGTCTCCCTCAACTGCCAATCCCACCGCGCCCTCCTCCCCTTACAGCTTTCTTAGCAAATAACCTAGCTTGTGCTCTAATCACTAGCCAAGGGCAGAACCAGTTTCCCAGAGGTAGCTATTGATAATTGTTTTAACAATACTTTCTCTAGCTTGTTTTGTATTAATTAGCTTTTCTATCCCAAGTATTTGCCTCCAGCTATTAAAAAAAAAACAAAAACAAAAGGAAGCTAACCTAATCTATCCCTTTGTGACCTTGGTGACACTGATAGGTCCTTTGTGACCTTCATGACACTGATAGACCCCATTACCATGGCAAGTTATGTGACTGGCCCACCTATCTACCTGCTGTCTATCATGACTTCATACCTGTGCTTACCTGTCCCTCCGTGATAATGTAAAACAGACATCTACCTTATGACCTACCCCCATCAAAGGAAAGGTCTAAAAGTATTCAACCTCAAGCGACTGCCATCATGCTTTTCCCTAAGCTTTGACTCTCCCCTATCTTGGGAAGGTGACTCTCCTCTCTTCCTCTCTCTCTAATTTAGCCTTATTTTCCAGTCTAATTTCTGTGTAATTATTTGCATCTTACTCGTGGCACGGGACCACTGACATAACATTTTTGGAGGTGCTAACACCAAGATCGTTCAGGAATACTGGAGACTAAAGTGCTACAACAACAAATAAAAAAGCTAAATAAATGGGGGTATTACACAGAATTCATGGATAGGAAGAGCAAATATTGCAAAAATATCCATTCTTCTCAAATTAATCCATAAATTCAATTCAATTCCAATTAAAATCCCAACAGGATTTTTATTTGACAAGGTTTAGCAGGATAGCAAGTAAGCCAAGAATGTTAAGACACTTCTGGGAAATGGAGGGGAAATTTGCTATCAGATTTCAAGAATGGCAAAGTTGTAACACTTGATGTAATTATTAACTATTGGCAAGAGAATAGAAAAACAGAGCTGTAGAACAGAGCCTAGAAATAGATCCACACTTTTATGGAAACTTGATATCCAAGTGAGATTACGTGAACCGTCTGATGCCTACTCTCAGCTACTGGATCAATTTGTTTTTAAAATGTTTCTTTCACTGTGTGTGCTGAATATATATAAGAGAAGTTTGATCGTGATTTCTAATAAACTAATAAAGTCATTTCTGATTTTTATTCATGTCTTAATCATTCCCAAAAATGAACTTGAGAGTTTAATTTATGGATGCAAATGTATTCATCAAAAGAACACTCTGCCTTTTATCATTCTCCTACTTCACAGATAATTTATAATGTTAATCACACATTACACTGAAGTAAAGAAACAGGGAAAGTGCATCTCAATTTGCACTTATTAATACCTTGTATTAATAACATCATGAGATATATAAGTTATGTTAGATCTCAATAATTTTATCTTGATGTGGCTACTTTTAGCAACCTATCAGGCTATGTTCTGAATTTTGTTTCTCGGTTTTTAAAAAATGACATTCCTCAAAATAAAAATCCAAATGTTAGCATATACTTCTTGAACACAAAAATAAAATATTCCCTAATGGAAAATATGTTACTGGCATGCATAAAATTATTTAGGAATGTTTAGTTATAATGGTATATAGTACATAATTGTGGGATGCAACTTTTATCCCCACCTAGATTATTGATTATAACTTTTAAGTCTACTTGTAGATATAAAAGTTCTAAAATGTGGTGTGTTTCATCAATTTGACCTCAGTTTCAATGTGAAGTTATTGGTGAAATATTTGGGGGGACTCTCTGTACTATTTTGTAACTCCTTGTAAATCAAAATATTTAAAAATAAGAAGCACTTTTAGATTGTAATAAGTAAAAAATATACTTTAGATTGACAAATCAGTCCTTCCCAGCTCATATCTAATGACTGGTATTTGTAGCTATATTGATGAAATTATGACGTGCAAAGACATACCAAGGAACACAGCTGGTGACTAAGATTTTCTTAAATTTTGGATACTGCCGCTTGAGTTTATTTGTCCTTAATTGGGCCTGATGAGTGGGTATTTTCATGACAAAAGGCTGCTCCAATGACCAGTCACACTTTCACTTGGGAACCTATTCTATTTGTAAACCAGCTTTGATTGCTTAAAAGATAGATCCTAGATGTTGCCATGAAAAGAGACTATTAATCAGCTTTCCCTAGGTTAGACTTACAACTACAAATATTTAGGAGAGTACTTAACCAAGCTGTTGAGTGATACAATATTAAAAACAATTTTCTATGATAGAGCATTATGTAATTTGTGGTACATAACTTGGTAAAACTTCATAAACTTGAGAGCTAGTGCTTCAAAAAAACCTTCTATTTCTATCTATTCATTTACATAAACAAAGTTTCTCAGAGTACACACCTATAGCAAAAAACAGGGATACAATCGATTCTAGGAACAAGGAACATTCATCCACAACTAAATGAAAATTTTAAAAGTCGCTGATGGAATATTGCACAACCACAAAGAAGGAAAAAATTATGGACTTTGAAGCAGCAACTTGATGGATTTAGAGTTGATCATACTCAATAATCTATCACAGAAACAAAGAACTAAATACCACATTTTCTTGCTCATAAGTAGGTCCTGAACACTTATCACAATACTACAAGAGAGGGATCGGCAGTAGTGGGACACTGCCGGGGGGAGGGGGTCAAGGGGGAGGAGGGGAGGGGTACATAACATC